TGATAATTCGTCAACGGACTGGTTTTGGGCTGCTGATAGCAAGTGGTGCTTCTTCTTGTTTGCTGTATCCAGATCGGATGCTCGTTCCCCGGACACCGCCTTTTTCACTGATGCTAGAGATAAGACGGAACCACTACTTCTGTGGTTTTCTTTTGACATATGCAACATGTAATCCAAGATCTGCATTCGGGGCGTGGGGAGGCTGCAGATCCCTGGTTGGAAGTGACATTAAGAGATGAGGTTTCTGGAATTTTGTTATGTTGACTTCTCTCGCTTAACCTAAACAGGGGAGTCATATACATCGCCTGCATGCTGTTTCTCGCCGTGGTAGAAAAATACCTATCTCTGTATGCTTACAACTTGTCCATGTATAACAGCTGTTGCTAAGGCCACTGATTCAAGGCTCTCCATGTCTTCCGGTCACAAGAACCCCCGATGCACCACCCAGTTCAGCCCTCTCGCCCGAATCCATCCTATCAAATGCCTTCTTCACTTGATATTCCCAGTTACTCCAAGCCACAATACCCCATTCAGCAAAGCCTACGAGGTACAAGGCAATGCACTGGCCTACCCAGAGACTGAATGCTAGCGTCAGTATACGTCTCGCGCGTACTCGATACAAGTGTTACTTACCCAGCAAGACCCCAGCCATGAAATGCAAGCCATATCCCAAGCGGCAAAGCACCGCAATAATAACTCACGATATTAACAACAGCGCCGACATGCTGGCGTCCCATGCCCCTAAGCGCACCCCCACAGCTCCCGTTCAGTCCGTCAGCGATCTGGAACAGCGCAACATACGGCATCACCTCAGCCGTAAGCTTGATAACGCGCACATCGTCATTGAAGATGCCGGCGTAGAAATCCTTCACTCCCATGAGCATCCCCAAAACGACTCCCCCCAGCACCATACTCAACACAGCTGCCGTATTCGCCGCCCGAGCCGCCCCCCGCGCTCGCCGACCCCCGAGAAGATTCCCGACTCGCGAGCTCGTGGCCACGCCGACGCCGAAGGGAATCGTATTCATGACCTGATCCGTCGTCATGATGACGCTCTGTGCCGCGAGTGGAATCGTCCCTAGCTTCCCTGCCGCGAGCGCAACTATTTCGAAAGCCCACCATTCCGTCCCCACGTGTATCACGCCGAGGAAGGCTAGGCGAGCGAATGTTTGCGTGTTTTGGATGCTCTGCTTACTCCAGCCGCCCCAGCTCTCCCACCCGTTTACGAAGCGCGCGTACATGAGGAGGAGGAGGAAGGAGATCCAGTACGCGATTCCGGTTGCGAGGGGCGCGCCGAGGAGGCCGATTTTCAAGGTGTGGATGAAGAGGTAGTTTAGTCCGGCGCTGAGGGGGGATGTTAGGAGGAGCACGTAGGTACCGGGTCTCATGATTTCTGTCCTTGGTTAGAAATTATACTCGATTTTTTGGCTTGTTGGACTGTTTCACTCACCTTGCGCTTGGAGGTACTTTTTCATAGCCTCGAAGTAAATATATCCTAGACCCCCCGGAACCAACACCGACAAAAACCTCGCCGCATCCCGCGCTATATACTCTTCCTGGCCGAGTGCGCGGAACAGTGGCGCCGAACACAACCACAGTATCGCCACCGGGATGTAGAAGAGCCCGAGAACGATGAAAGAGCGTTGAAGTATTATCCCTAAATCGTGCGGGTTCTTACTCCCTGTGAAACTCGCGCTGGCGAGTGTGTCGATGGCCGTAGTTCCTCCTAGGGCGATGAGCCAGCCCGTCGCCATGGCGAACATGTAGGAGAATGCGGCTGTGGCGAGTGCTTCTGGGGAGAGGCGACCGACTATTAGAACGGAGATTGTTTGGAGGGAGTTTTGGAGTGCGTAGGCGAGGACGACGGGGATGGAGCCTTTGAAGAGTACCCAGAACTCTTGCACCACGAGTTGGAATTCCGAGCTTGGTTCTCCATCGTCGAGTGGGTAGGTTTCTCCTACGAATGCCTCTGCTTGTGGTGACGGGATTAGAGCGGTTCTTTCATTGGCGTGGGTAGGATATTCATCTTTCTTGGGTCTCTTGAAGATGTTCGGGATCCAGGATTTGGATCGGGGTTTGTTAGATCGATTGTCCATGGCGTAGTAAGTAGACTGTCCGAGTGCTTAGTCTGGTAGAAAGAATTAAAGAATGGGCCACAAGCTTATAAGGTCACTTAAACAATCCATCTCAAGCTCCACAGAACAGCGAGAAAGGAAAATCAACGACATGCAATGCATCCATGGCCTGAAAGGTGCAACAAGTACGAAGGCGGAAGATAGGGTTGTATGACAACATCGATTACAATACATGTGAGATGGGATCTAGCGGTACGCGAGAGGCACGCCGACGGCCCGCCCGATGAAGTGCTGTGCAGGAAAGAACCAGCTTCGATTGCCAACTCATAGCTTGAGACTGGTACCCCGTGGGTGTGCTACCGTAGTCTTATCGACTTGCATCCGAACCGTTGTTACTAAACGATGTCGGTAATATTTACGTGCTTGGACCGAGTCTAGCGCGTTGGGAAATCGAATGCGTGCCACAACCACAGCAGTGCCAGCTGCACTGTCTAGGCTGTAGACATGAATTGCGCTACTTGGGTAGGTGAATGTGTGTACCTCGAATAATACATGGTACTTAGGTGGTATATGGAACTTTTGCAGCGCAGTGATAGTTTAGCTTGACGTACATCAACATGTTTCGCAAGTGCAAAAACAAAGGGTTTAACAAGTCCTGCGAGTCTAGATATACCCAGTTAATAGCATGGATGGATTCCACGTCCATGGAAGAATTCCATGGATAGCTGGAATCCATGGAGGATTGCGGCTGGCGATGGAATTCTTAGTACTAACTACTATAAGACTAGTATAACTAATATAATAGAATAGCTTAATTCTAGTAAGTTTGCACTACAAGGGTGGAGCATGAACGGGTTGCCCCCTCCCCCTGTCGCCCTTAGCGTCTTGGCCGAAAAGACGGCCGATTTCTCAACTCTCTGAGAGTCAATTTTGACG